CATTCCTGGTGCTGTTATAGTCTGAATAAAAACAGTTCTGCTAAAAATAGCCAAAGGCAATGCCTTTAAACACAAACTAAGTGCTCTTCAAAGTAAAAAAACACATGGACTCCTTCGGTTGCCTCCTAATCCCCTGCTTCTCCCTAACAAAGGGAAGAACCTGTGCTAAGAAACAGGAAAATAATTATTTGAGGCCAGTACTTCAGGGAGGTGTCAGCACGTCCAGCTCCATCGTTTTAAATCGTGTGATGGTAGATTGCACCAGGCAGCAGCCTGGCCCTCTGCTTTTGAGCTTACCCCTTATCAAGGTGACGTTAAATTATTCCCCATTTTAAATGAAAAATGCAAACTTTCCAAACAGGCAGAAGGCAGGGAAGAAAAAGCAGCAACACTGAAACTCAAGAAATATTAGCTTTAAACATCAGGTACTGCCTTTTGTACAGTCCTTCCTACACGGGCAAGTACTTGCAAGAATATCAGGTAGCAAGGTAATAAAACCAGATGATGCTGGAAGCTTCCAGCAGTGGAAGGCATTTAGATTCATCTTCTGAATTTCCTCCTGAATAGGCTAATGTAAGGGCATTATAAACAAGCTGTTTCTCTTCGCAGGGCCCTGACAATTGCATGAAGTGTGCCCATTTTATAGACGGCCCTCACTGTGTGAAATCCTGCCCGGCAGGGGTTCTGGGTGAGAATGACACCCTCGTCTGGAAATATGCTGACGGGAATGCTGTTTGCCAGCTCTGCCATCCAAACTGTACCCGGGGGTGAGTAAAACCTCGGGCTGAATGGAAACAGGGGGGGAAAAAATAGGGGAACAGCTCGTCTTGAGCTCTCTCCTTTCCTAATGGTCCCATTTCGAACAGCCGAGAAGTAATAGCAGGGAGCGAGAGAGGTCAGGAGTGCGCAGGTAATGTAAGCAGAGCGCAGCGGACTTTGTAAATAGGAAAAGTTCAGTGGCACTTTTTCTTTACACAAAAAAAAAAAAGAGGAAAAATGTTTCAGGGTGTTTGAAACAGGTTTTGTTTGTTGATTTAAATAGGAAACGTCCTGGAGTTTTACAGAACTCACCCACCAGTGATGCACTTTCTGGTTTTTTCCTACCTGGCCTGGTGTTGGGTCCTCTGTTTTGCAGGAGGAACATCAGTGACATCTGGTGGATGCTGGGCCCCTGGGGCCCATTTTTCTCTGCACCTTTCATTTTTTGGGGAGGGAAATCCCAGTGAGGTACCACAGTGATTTTGTTTCTTTCCTTCTTTCCATATGGTAGCACTTGGTCTGAGTTTCAAGCCTGGCTTGCCTCCTGAGTGTGGCTTTATTAATGGGTATCACAGTAAACCCAATCTGTATGAACCGTTTTTGTCCTCATTTGTAGGCACACTTAAATCACTACCTATAATGAGCTGTGAATTCAACTGTATTTAACCTACATGGCAATAAGTAACAGGGCTGCAGCTGTCTCCTCTCCTGGTTTCCGATCTGCAAAGGACACGGGATGGGCAGTAAGAGTTTTTAGGTTTTGAGACTTGGTTGTTGGACTGTGATGCTTTCAGAGCAAAAAAACGACCCACATGTAGTATCTTTCCCTTCACAGGCCCCTGCCATGTACCCTGCAGGTCTGTCCGATCCAAAATCCTTCTGTAATATGCCTGTAATATGTGTTGCAAGAGAGAAGTTATAACACTGGCCTCCAACTATATTCAGACCAACCATCATCCCATTGTATATTTAGCGAACTCAACTGCCGGGGCATGAACGAGCAGAGTGCCCAGCACCCCACCTTCATGAAGAAAAGGAGATGAAGGGTTAAACCAGCAAGTAACGGCCCTTCCTAGTGCTCACAGTGAATTCAGTGCTCTGGTTTTCAGATGGTAGCTGCAACAGCCATGTGGGTTTGCCATGATTTACGGCGATGCCCCCTGTGTTTTGTTACAGTCGCAGACAAGGCTTATCAGGGCTTCCCATCGCACGCCTGAGAACAAATGATCTCAGTTGAAAAGGGATCTTAATAACTTTGCTCTTTATTAATGACCTCAGTAATCCCTACTGATACAAACTGGCCACAGGGATCCAATATCCTTCTTCTAACTGGCCACATGAAAATGCGGCTGATTGTTGGAGCAGCGTAATGGATAACCACATCTGAACAAGGCTTTCAACTGTGCGGCCTCAGGAGCGAGATCAAACACTAGACTCCAATGAATGCAAACTTGGAGAACATAATCTGCCAGATATGGATGTAGCTGCAAGCCACACAGTGGCTCTTTGTGCACAAGCAAGTCCCCAGAGCAGAGTTCATCAGAAAAGTCCATTCCTGCCTGGCTGTAGCAGTGGATGGGTGTGCCACAGGAGCCTGGCAGGTGATGGGGGTAGGGTAAGGAGAGGTTTTTGAAAATTAGGGGTACCCAACATATGGCTCAGTGTATTTGGCCCTGTGTTATGAAGGCAGAACATAAAAAGTGGTATCAATTTCATCTCTTGCATCAAAGAACTAGGCTAAGTTTGCCACAGTTATATTGTGGACATGCTCAATGGCCCTGTTCGAGTTGCTGCCCAAATGCAGCAGACAAAATAGGCTGTATCCCTGAAGGGCTCAAGAGAGCTAAGAGAAGGTAGTGTTACTATTTTTGCTTTACAGATGGGACATCTGAGGCTAATGGCATTGATGGGTAGGGAGCCAGAGTCAGGGGCGTAATCTGGGAACATGCAGTCTGGCACAGTGTTTTCCTTGTGAAGGCAATCAATCCGTAATGCCACTTACTTCTCTTCACGCCTTTCCCTCATTGTGCTGCGGGAATGGGATCTGTTCAGCAGTGGGTGGAAAACATCTGTCTCGCAAAGTTTTTGCATCCTTAGAAACCACAGTCTCAGCGATTTCTGCATGACAAGAAACAACAACTTTATTTCTGTCCCTGTCCAATTTCACGGCTAGAACCCACAAAATCTTATCAGCTTGATTAAGTGTGCTGACTTCAGTAGTCATGGAAGTAAGGGTTTCCAGGATCTGGCTCTATTTTCCTTATTTGAAGAAGCTGCAAGTAAAGAGGACTTCTCTTCCCAACTGAGCTTTGTCATGAATTTGGTTTTTTTTTTTCCTTTAGGTGTGCTTACTGGTAGTGCATTTCTTCCTTTGTATCACTGTGAAGAATCCCATCTAGTCTGATTTTCTTTGCTGAGTCGTTTGTTCAGCCTTCATTAGAAAACAGAAGGGAGGTAGCTTTCTCCTGCTCAGCCCAAAAGACCCCTTCTGTCCCATTTTCCCTGTAACTCCTTGGAGATTTTGTACACTAGCTTCCTTTTGCCTCTGGTACAGCTGAGAAAACACACTCCGATAAAGACAGCAACATCCCAAAAGCCCTGGCATTACCACATTTATACCTCCAGCAACTAATGAAAGACACCAGCTTGATTAATCTGCTCGATGTTGAAGGATTTGGTTTTCCCTTGCCGCTCTCCTGGAGCACGGGAATTAAATTCAGCCACAGTGGGGTGGAAGAGCAAGAAGGAGAGAAGCCACAACTGTAGCTAATAGCACTGGCTGACGCGTCCTGCCTCCACAGTCGCAACCAACACTACGTATCTCGCCAGTCTGTTAAATGCTAGGGGAATTTAGGGGGGGTGCGAAAGCAGCCAGGGGGTCCAAGAGGGAAGGTTGCAGCAGCACAGCACAAATGTGATGCGTTTGTCACACTCTGGAGGTTAATGAGAAAGAAAGGGCAGAGGAAAGTTCTTGTAAGGCTTTAAAAAGCCCAATCGTTTTCCGTTTCTTTTATGACTGTGAAGTAACTTAAGGTGTTATAGTGTGAGCTCCCTCTGAAAGGCCATAAATCATAGCAACCTGGTTGTATTACATCAAATTAGGAGCTATGGGTCGAGCAGAAAATTGTTAAAATCTTGATGGATTTGGGAAATAAATAGCTGTGTCTGCTAATATTTATGTAGACAGATGAAATGCTGAGTTCAGGATGCAATAGTTTTCAGGGACTGTACACAGTACTAATTTTCCAATAAACAGAGAAATATTTCAGAGACTACAACTGCTGCTAAGTTCCATCTGATATATCCGTAAGATCTTGAGGCAGTTCATAACACAAGGTCACATTTCTCATTTTGGTTTCTGTAAACAGAAGAAAAACGATTCAGGAATGGAAAAAGTGATTGTTTAGATTCCATAAAACCTGGGTTACTTATGTTGGGTGTCATCATAAAATTCCACGTTAAGAAAGATGGTTATATTTAGTCCTGGATGGATATTTGTTATAGGCTTTGTTTCTCCTTTGACTTGTGAAATGAATCAGAAAATCACGTGGGATTTGAAAAGCACAAGCTGATCTGTCATTTTCTTCCCAAACACCGTTTTACTTTGTCCCACTAGACTTGATATTGATGGATTTGTGTGGGAAATAATTTTAAAAAAAGGAGGAGACAGCTGAAAATCTACACCTCTCCTGCTTCTACTTTCTAGTATAGGAAAATAACTGGTCAGTCATTCCTCAGACTGTAGATACCGTCCCCTCAGCCAATTTTTTTGCTGTTAGGAAGCACATGGAGGACTTGCCATCATAAAGTAGCACGGCAAATCAGTATTTTTAGGAAGACATAATTGAGAGACCACAGTCACATTCTGAAATAATGTGAGGTCTTTTAATTTCACATCTTTATCGGGAGAAGCTGCACGTGCTTTGTTGCATTAGCATACAGAAATTCAGATCCAGGTGGAAGAGAACTAGATCTGTTTTCTGTTGTGCGCCCAAAGAGAAAAGCCCGGTGCAAAGCGAGATACGTCTCCTGTGACCGTAAGCAAGCTGGTGGTTCTCTTCTGCACGTGCAGCCTCTCTGTGCTTACTCACACAACTGAGCAAACAAACCAAGCCATAGGCAGAGAGGGAACGCTAACAAAGCTGGGCGCCCAGGATCCGGGAACCGGTATGCACAGCGCTTCCAGCATGTCCAGGACACCGGGATGCACATTCTTGCATGGGAGCCCAGTGAACTCGCAAGACCTTCCAGATGCTGGGTCTTGGAGCACTGTGTTGGCCCAGAAACAAGGCAAATACACGAGGGAAGATCAGAGTAATGAAAACAAACAAACAAACAAAAACCCAATAAAATGAGTAGTTGCTTCACCTCTTCCTCCCCCAGACCTAGATCAAGTTATGAGATAAGATCTGCAACTCCACCTGCCATTTTGAAATTTTTCTGGTTCCTCCTCTTGGTGAGAGGGAATTCAGAGCAGTTTTCCTGGCACAGGCTCACTCCTTACCCCCTACTTGACCTCCTCTGGAGTTGTTTTGGGATGATCCATTTTCTTTAAGTCAGTGCAGGGAGCGGATACCGCAAACTGGACTCTTCTCCTTGCTGTGCTCTGTTTTTCAGAGATGATGTAACCCTCTCTGTAATGCTCTCCTTCCTCGGTAGACACCACAAAGACCACAATTCCCATGAAGAACATACATCTTACAGCCCAGCAGCACTTAGGGAATGCACGGTGCCTCTCACACCCGTTAGACCATCAAGTGAATGCAGTCACTGTGTTTTCATCTGTGTGGTTTTTTTGCATTGGGCTGCCAAAATGAATTTCAGGCATTTTAAGCTCCAACAGAGGGTGAATGACTTGCTAGTAGAGTTTCTGGCTCTCTGGATAACTGTCATACCTGTTTACATTACCAGCAACATAAGACTTTAGATTCCAAAAGAAAAATATCATGGACACATACCAACAGACTATAGCTGAAGGGAGTGCTGTCAAATCCTGTTTTCTGATGGGAGCGTGTATCTGTTACCCAAGTTTTCCATTGCAATAGAAAATCTGGAAATTGGAATCTTTTACTTATCAGGAAACAAGGATTATGCAGGAGGGTCTGCAGTGACACGTTTCCATGTGGCTTTCTGCCCTTGTGCAGGGGAGAGGCCACTTCTGTCCTCCATGGTCAGCCCTGAGCTTCTGTGCTAACGCAGATGTCCATGAAGAGCCAGGGAATCCAGGTCCATTTGGATTTTGTGTATCTATGTCCTCCCCCATTCTACCACATGATAGAAAGTTGTTTTAAAATATTCTTTAAACTGATTGTGGAGCATAACTATGCCTCTAGATAAAAGATTTTGGAGCAAGGCCATTGACTGATGTTTATTAGACTATTATAAATTGCTTTGTTAATACTTGGACTGCTCTGAAACACAAACTTTTCAATCAGTAGCACTCCTCTTAGTTGGAATTATAGAAGTATGTATGCCAGAGCTAATATGTTTATAACGTTAATTTGTTTTTACAGGTGCAAAGGGCCAGGTCTTGAAGGCTGTCCAAACGGGTGAGTCTTTAATCTGCTACAATTAACGACAGAGCTGGAAAGAATGCATGTGTGTTTACATTTCCACGCTGGACACTGCAAGGCTGGGACTAAAGTTGTCTTCAGCTCTGTACAGGGAAGTGACAGATTAGAGTAGGCTCCGACCTATAAAAATGATTTAAAGAACTGAGAAATATTCCTACTGGCACAAGACTCCAAAACCTTGTTCTGCTTACCTTGTTTGTCAAGGTGAGACCTAGGATCTATTACTGGAGAGCAAAAAGAAGAAAAAGAAAGGATTAAGTGTTAGTGGCAGAGAGAGATACGTTTAGGGTTGATATGGTTACCTGCATTACAGGGGATTCATCTCAGAGACCCAGGGTTTTTTTTCCAGCCCTGTGATCTGTACATCTCCAACCGCTCTGTGCACAGATGGATGTTCATTTGTCACACTAGATCTTACGTTGCACCGTTTGGCCTCATGACTTGCTCAAGGTCATGCAACAAGCAACCACGGTTCTCTGACTAAGAGAGAGGGATTTAGTTTCTGGCCACAAAGTCATGCTATGGCAAGATAAATTCAGCCTAGAAGTACTGTTAAAAAGTGACTCTGTCTGATAGTAATCCCTGGGGCAACTTAAAAAGAGCTGTGATGGATCTCTAAGTACAGACCAAAAAACAACCTTGGAAAACAGGTTTTTCTTTTCAACTTAAATTTGAAATGACCCAGGCTCTAATAAAGAGGCAGCAATCCATATGCGCAACATGGATGGTTCACACATTAGCTGGCCTCAGACATTTGTACTTGGGGAGGAGGGCCAATGATCTGAAGTTCATTGTGACCCTTACAACGTGGCCCCCCAGTGATGATGAAATGTCAGCTTCATTGCTGGTATCACAACTGTGTATGCCTTTCTTGATACCGCCTTCTCTCCACGTGCTTCGTGTATCTGATCACATGCAGGCTGCCCATGGGTGGCTTATATAGGCATCACAGATTTGATGCTCATGCGCTTGGTGGGTTTGTCAGAGGGAGGAGAAATCCCCTCGCTTAAGCTATGAGGATCAGCTCCAATTGCAAGTTTGAGAGAACAGTGAAGACTTTGAGCAGGTTACTGGATGAAGAACTTAAAAATACAGATGCCCAAGGTACCTGAAATGTCAAATAAGCTTAAGCGGATGTCCAGAGTGTGTGTTTGATCAAAACCTAAGGCTTCATACAACCTCTGTAGGGTTTTTTTTTTAAATCTTACACCTAAGCATTTTTTTCTTTTTCTGCATCCCCTCCTGTCTTGCAGCTCCAAAATCCCGTCTATCGCAGCTGGCGTCGTTGGAGGTCTCCTGTGCCTGGTGGTGGTCGGCTTGGGCATCGGCCTCTACTTGCGGAGGCGCCACATCGTCAGGAAGCGGACCCTGCGCCGGCTGCTGCAGGAGAGGGAGGTGAGCGCCGCCGGCACGGCTGCAACACCGGCTGCTTTATTTGGGGCAATGGGTGCCGGCCTCCTCTTACCAGAGAGTTAAAGCACCGTGCGTCTGCCTTGTAACTCAACAAGCCCTTGTATGGGCAAACACGGCGTCTGCCGTGCTAGTCAGAAAAGAGGCGGTGTGCACCTAACACCTTCTCACTTAATCTCAAGTCTGATCCCTCTGGATATAATTTTCAAAAGCTTTAGGGGATTTAGATGTCTAAATCTCAATGAAAATCATTGAGATTGTCTACTCAGAAAAAACTATGCCTTCAGGGTGAGGTGCAATGTGTTTGCTGATCCATACCGCCTTGCTGTGTAGACCCTCAGCCTCGAATCGTTTCTCCCTCCAGACAAGCCTGGAGGCTGCTGTGGCACTTGGGCGCTTTTGAAAATTTTACTCCCTTGATCAGGCGTATGTCTGATCCTGAGGAAAAAAATGAGAGAGAAAGGAGAGGAGGGAAAGGAATTGAGGAAGTGTTTGTGTCGTGTCTTTGGTTTGTTTTTAGCACAAAAAACCCACAAAGCCATCAAAGTGAATGGTTCACCCTGTTGAGCATGAACAAGGTTTCTACACTGCTTTTTGTTTCTGTATGGTTTTGTGTGTGTTACAGCATCGCCCTCTGGGTACCTCACATATAAAATAGCAAAATTAATTATCCTGGATTAAAGATGTTCATTTATGATTAGCCCCCTTCTCTTTCTAGTCCAATCCTAGTAAATAATTAGCAAATTGTATTTAGCATTCTGCTAAAAGCCCAGTTGCAGCTTCCTTCCGTGCTCACTGGCTTTGCAGTCAACTGCTAAAATCCTTAAAAAAAAAGCTGTCCTGCTTTTTAATGCACTACCTAACAATATTTTACATGCCACTGTATTCTACAGTTGTTATAGTAGAGTTTAGTTTGTGCTCAGCTCATATTGTACCCTCTGGACTCCTCAAAATGAGGATATTTCATCACAACAGAACGGTTGCTGGCCCATTAAAATCAGATTGTATCTAGCTAAATATGGTTTTATTCAAAGGAAAGGAAAAAGAAAGAGCACTAAGAGAAAAAGCTGACTTATGTATCAAAAAAGTGTTAAATATCTCTATTTGGAGGGCATTACTGCTGTTTGCAATAAGGCTTAGATCAAATTTTGAAAACATCAATAGTCAATTCAACATCTCCTTTTTCATTGAGAAAAGAATCACTCTCAGAGTTTCAATTGCTGCTTGTAAACCCTGCGGTCTGGGGGAGCCACTGGTACCATGGGAATTTCATCCAGTTAAACAAGAGCAGACCTGAAAGGTTGCAGGTGATTCTTGCCCATTATTTAAAACATTTTTATAATTTATTCACAGTTCAAGAAAAAAATATTCTTTAGGATCTGTGGTAATTACATTGTTCTTCATGTCATGTATTTTAAGGCTTTGAAGTCAAAGCCTTCATTTGAACAGTAGAATTCCTTCATTCTCCTTCAAAATGGCAGTTGCCACTCTCTGATTGATTTTACCTCTGAAATTTGGAACAACTCTACATATTTATTGCTGCAAGTCAGAGTGGAGCTGTCCTCCCATAAACTTGACATGGAATAAAATGTTCATTATTTTAAAGGAAGGATTTATTTGCTTCCCCAAAGTGTGCTGCATGCTGTCCTCCTAGACTGTATATCCTTCTAACGTCGTCTTCTCTCTGCACCAGCTTGTCGAACCACTGACACCCAGTGGGGAGGCACCGAACCAGGCTCATCTAAGAATTTTAAAGGAAACAGAATTTAAAAAGGTCAAAGTTTTAGGCTCTGGAGCTTTTGGCACTGTTTATAAGGTAAGATCACCATGTTTCTCTTCCCCTTTTCATCTTGCTCCCTCATGCAGAAGCCACCCAAAGAAAGCATGAACTGGGAGCTGCGATCATTGTGTAGATTTTTTTTTTGAACTAGATTTTATAGCATGTATATATTGAATGGTAAAGAGGTGACTCAATCATCATTAATTGAGTTATGAATCGGGTAACATGGGAAGTTTTACATAAGATGTTGCCAAAGCCATATTGCTGAACTGGGAGGATAAAGATCTCAGCTGAAAAACTACCACAGCCAAATACACCCTGTTGTGAATATTAGGAAAAAAAGAAATACACTTTGGTCAGCTCAGTGCTAAGCCATTTTTCTGTGTGTTCTGGGGTCTTGTTTTTATAATTGTCAATCACACTTTCATTAGAACTGACTCAGATGTGTGGAAGTGTCTACACACCTTCAGTTGCGTAGGTCCACAAGGTATTTTTTCTCTTGGTGTTTGTTTATCCTCTGCACTTCTTCTTCACCAAGTTCCACTTTTCTGTGCTCCTCCTTTTATTCAGGATATGTGTTTCAGGCTTTGCCAGTAGTACTGAAATATAAATTGTAGATTCATATATCTCTTTATAAAGCTCTATATTCTGAAGCAGGCTTCCAGCTATGGCTAGGAATTTCAGGGGCACAAATCCCATTGACCTCGGAAAATGTGCAGCTACATTGCTGGGTACTTCAGCAGGGTGTCCTCGCAGTGCCACACTGTTCACCTGCCATCTAAATGGCCTCCTGACACTATAGATGTAGAGCACTGAACCAGTCGGACATAAACCTACCTGCCACTGCATATGTGTAGGACTGGATTATTTGTACAGTATAGATGCCATCTTGTTTTCATGAGAAAATGCCAATTCTTTTCACCCCATGATTTATATATTGGAAGTGGCAAGGTTTTGCACATGCAGTTGCTGTGATGCACTAATGAATTAGATTTCCATCCATAAAAGTTGCTCTTTATGCATCTCTTGGGCTATTTATACAGGGACGGTAATGAATATGGTTTTTCAAAAAAATACAGTAGAGGTGACTGAAAGAGAAATACCACTCACTCCATTAATAGGATTTTGTTAACGCACACAAGACACGTTTTTTGCATATTTTTGTTGTCTGCCATGCCTTCCCATTGCTCAGAATATTTAAGTCTACTCAGAAGATGTAAAATGTATATGTCGTTGTGAGAATTAACCTGTTAGAGATGAGTCTGAGTAACTCTTTGTACTTCTTTTTGGTAGGGACTTTGGATCCCAGAAGGGGAGAAGGTCAAAATTCCTGTCGCTATTAAAGAGTTGAGAGAGGCTACATCACCAAAAGCCAACAAGGAAATACTTGATGTAAGTTTTCATGTTTGTCTTGTAAGGTTGTCAGTGCTCTGTGGATTTTCCTCTGCAACAAATAAAGGGATTTCAGGATTTTGGGGGGGAAGAAATATTTTGCACCCCAAACTGCATTCTCCATCTAGAAGTACTGGGCTTTACAGCCCAGTCTGTAAAGTGCTTTTGTGTCTCCTATGAACCCCTTGCTCGCAGTCCAAGTACTGATGTTATACTCGTGGGGTGGCATCTAAGGAGAGGTCAGGACCGTACATTTACAGCTAATTCTGTTTTCTCTATTCTGATGTTTCAGGCCTTAAAGTGTGGCATTCATTGCCATTGCGACAGTAGAACTAAAACCAATAACAACATATCTAATGATTTTTCAATCCTGACATTGCAGGTTGTCATAAGCTAGTTGCTTGGTTACATAGGATTAAATTAACTGTAAATCCAAAAGGAAAAAATATCCCAGCTGTCTGATTTCTCTGCCATGAACAGCAAGAAATTATCTCGCTTCCCGAAAGAGGCATGGGAATTCAGGAGTTCATAAATGTGTGAGTTTACAACGGGTGAGCCAGAGTCCTAAATACAAGTTCCCTGAACTTGGAATAGCTAAAAATCTGAACTCTGTTGCTAGATCTGAAGCCATATAACATAAAGCACTAAGGATATATACTTATATATGAGGAAAATGCTGAGTGCAGAGAGGAGCGCTCAGATTTCAGTATACGTTCAGTTCAGCTTTCCTGTGCTGTGGTTCAGTCCTCAGCGACAAGAAACGGGTTGCGTGTGTATGTGTGCCCTCTTCAGCCCTTTGAGCCCTGAGCTGGAGCCTGCTGGGTCACTCTGGAGGACTGGTCAGCCCAGGGACTCCCCAGGCAACACAGTGTATTTGGTACAGATGAAGTCTTTAAGCTTCTGCTTGCTATACCTGCATGAGTGTGCCTCTGGAAAGTGTAGGTTGGAAGCCTGGATTTGGCCGGGGCTCAGCTATCGAGTGCGTGTTTGCAGGGACAGGGCGCACGTCCCTGGTACGTCCCAAATGGGCCTATGAAGTGCAGGTCCACAGCTTGGGACATCCTGTTTGCGTGGAGGCGATGGTCCTTCAGCCATGGGGAAAACTGTGGATTTTTTTTATTTTGGTAGGAACTGAACCACTTTAGCAGGAAATTTATTTAAAAAAAAAAAAAAAATCCAGCTTTGGACAGCAAATGACACCTCAGGTAGGAAGGCTGATCTCAAATGGTTCAAGCTGGTGAAGATCTTAACAAAAGGCCAGTCTCATAGTGAGAAATGTCAGGATGAATGGCTGTGAACAAACATACCTCTGCCACTGATGACAATAAAGCACACTGGATTTTTCCAATCACCCTGAATAAACAGTGTTATTCCAATACAATACTTCAACAGATCATGTGTTATGTACCATGGGATTTGATACGTGCATTGCAGCAATGCAAAAGAGTAGGTGGTCCATCTCAGAATCCATATGTGAAGCAATATCCGTCCTGATTTTAGTTTAGTTAGACTCCAGGCCAGTCTCAGCCCTTCCCCAGGTCCCTGACCGCTGTGGCCCTGGTCCCTGCCCCTCGCCTGCCTGCGGGCAGTCTGCGGTCCCTCCCTGCGCTGGTGTTCCCCACACTGAGGAGCTGGCAAAGATGCTCCTCAGCTGCCTGCCCTGAGCTCCGCCCCTCGCTTCCCTCTTCACAGTGACAAGCAGCATAACACAGTCTTTGCAAAGGATGTTTTGGACTTAACTGCATTAAATTCCTGTATACTGAAGGAAGGGTTAATGAATAAGCCTACAGTACTGCATCCTGCCTTCGGCAGATCAAGATATTAACACGACGGAGCAGTAGGTTCAGGGACTGTGCACTCTTCGGTGGTACCAAAGTACTTTCTCTTTTCAAAGAAGTTTCTGTATCATATCGCTACATTATCTTTTCTTTTCCATTGAATTAGGATGCTTAACAAAAAGTTCTTGCTTTTTTCAGTCCTGTTCATTTTTCAGATGACTTGGTTGGTGGAATTCATTCTATATTTCAGAGGAAAATTTAAAAAAATACAAAACCAGTAAAAGAAGTCAGAGGGATGACTCCAAAAGCTCCTCCCAAAACAAATTTTTGCTACACAGCTGACTTTTCAAGGTCACTGAAACCTCAGAGATAATAATGTCCAATTAAAGATGATTTGTCTTACAGAAACACGCTAGGTATAGAACAAGCGCAGCAGCTTTAGCTCATAGAATCCAGGCGAGCTCTCGTGGCTTTATTAAGGTAGGGCTAATTCAGAAGATTGTTGTTGAATACCAAGCATACTTGGAGCAGGTCAGAGCGAACCGCAGAGATTTCCAAGATAAACAGTTGAAACAAAGGCCCACTTTAATGTCTTGGGCTACTTAGAGGGACCCACGACCGCACAATAGCTCCCTTCTGCTCCCTGCGAGGAGGAGGTGACCTATTTTACTTTGCAGTATCAAATGTAATAGGCAGTGTCAACGCTTGGATGCTCTCTAAAAGCTGTGTGGCCCGTACGCCCACCCTGCTCTTCCAGCATCCCAGTTCTCAGCCCCCAGGTCAGCCCTGCGCGGGCTGCGCGGCAGATGGGCAGTGAGAACAGCTCCGACTCTGCAGATTTTTTTCTCTCCCCTGCTGAAATGAATACAATATGGATCTGAATCCCAACAGGAAGCAAGGCAAGGAACAGACACCCTTCATCGGTACAACAGCTCGGTTTGGAAGCCTAGAGAGATTTAGCATGTTTTGGTCTCTACTTGCATCTGAGCGTCATATAGTGGATTCGCAAGGTTCTGTAAAAAACGCTGCCACAAATATCTACGTAACTGAATAGCACATTGTTATTCTTGCTTTATCTTTCCTCGGGCTAGCCTGCAGAATCAGTGTTAGCCTTGACAGAGGGTTGTTTTTCAATGCCGTGCTCACATCCTGCAGTAGGTTAAGGAGCCCTTACCCAATTCTGCCAGAGATCTTCTTTAACCTGGCTGCCTGCAGACCACTTTAATCCCAGAGGCTCCAAAACAAGGATACCAAATGCAGAATTAGCACCTCAGAAGAAAACTGTATTACATCATGTTTTGCTTAGGCTGGCACGTCAAACAACAATACCAAGGCCAGAAAGTATTGCTTAAGAATTGGGGTTGCTTATTTCTTGAACGTCATTGCTTTAATAACTTCGTTTAATAATAGTTCTTACCAGCTATGTGACATCTGTGGAAAGCTGTTTAGATGATGAGTAAAGTGTTACGGTATTTTGTTTCTTAAGCTCTTAGAAAGTGCAGATTTGCTCCTTTCCCTGCTACAATAGTTGCCTGACTATTATTTTAGGCTTTGGAGGGCTGCTAGCCTAATGTTGAATTGCCAGGGGATGATTAGTTGGTGTCACTCCAGATGCTGAGTTAAGATGCTGGCCTGAAAGCTCACTGCATGGAAAAATTCCCATTTCTTTCCCATTGTGTTGGTTTTCAATTAAATGGCTTTAAAAATGTCTAGAAGTAAGATACTGTAAATCAGACACAAAGTTAATTTAAAAAACCACAACTTCAGCGCTAATTTTTTCCCCCTATTGGAATCCATTCTTTGAGCTTGCACTTGACAGCGGATGTCAGTATAAATACGGATCTCAAATTTAAATCTGTAAGTAGTCTTCACATGCAAAACCCATGAAGTTGGGGGTTTTTACCGTGTGTCTGGAGCGTGCTGCACCAGCCTCTGAAGGGGCCTCTCCCTTCCTGCAGAAGAGCAAAGGAAGAGGAGGTACCTTGGGTACCTTAGGTAGGTACCTAAAGCTTCATAGGGTGAACCCAGGCTTGAAAGGAGAATTTTTCACATATTTATGAAACTCAAACCCCAAATTCCAGTTGACCAAAGGGTTTATTATACTTAGGCTCCCACATTATAAGTACCTTCCTCGTATCATTTGGATTGCTATGTGGGTCTAAACAGGCTTTTCCAATTGGGGACAATATTTTCACGAGCGTTGCTTAAAGTAAGACATGTGTTCAGAATTCTAAGGAAGTGAACTGATCATTAACCTGTGTGGTTTGACGTGGACTGAAGGACAACATGGTCAAAGAAGCCTTGTCTCTTAAAAAGTCAAACTGTCAGTCCCATCCTAGATGACAACTTTTGACTTTCTGGGTTAGTACTAACCCTGACAAAGGGACAGAGGTCTCAAAAGTACTGATTTCCAGCCAGTTTTGTGAAAAGATTTGTGGAGGGGAAAAAAGCCATATGACACATGTTCACAAGATGTGTTGCCCTTCCAATTAGGTGCTCAAAATTATGAAATCCCGTCAGCTTCCAGTTGATGTTCAATTTATTAATTCCTCCTAGGTCCGTAAGTTTTGTCCCCAGGATTTTATGTCCCGTGTTTGCTTGGTGTACCAGTAGTGGGAGACTGGCTTTTCTGCAGCATCTCAGTAATGCTTCAGTGTTCAAAATCTGGACCTTCCACCGAATGGAAAAAACTTGGTCCACAGAGTGGGAAATAGAAGTATTTTGTATGTGATATGAATGGGGTGCAGAGTTTACATATAGTATTTTAGCAACCTCTTAAATGACCAACTTATTTTATACTGCATCCAAACATTTCTGTCGTGCCAAAGGCAGTGTTTCACATTGTTTTTTTTCCTTTCTGCTCAGGAAGCTTACGTGATGGCTAGTGTTGACAATCCTCATGTGTGCCGCTTGTTGGGAATCTGCCTCACTTCTACTGTTCAGCTCATCACACAGCTGATGCCTTACGGCTGCCTCCTTGATTACATCAGAGAGCACAAGGACAACATTGGCTCCCAGTACCTCCTCAACTGGTGTGTGCAAATTGCAAAGGTAAGCGGACCGGCACGCTGACAGATCAACTAAAACTCAGACTCTAACAAGGAGATCTGACAGTGCGTAATGTATTTATTTGCTTACTTGTCTCTGTAAGTCTTTGTATTTCACCACATGGTTCCTAGATACTTTATAAGGGACAGCAAGCAGTTACTTTGTCTTAAACAATTTACCATTTTCAAGGGAGTAGAATTTGGCAATTGCCGTACTGCTTCCAGTGCTGCTTCCATCAGTGGATTTCTTTGGGCTGTGCCACAGGGCAAACGGTGCCTCAGAGAATGACCCTGATTTTTCAGGCTGAAATCTCTGAGGCCTGGGGATCAGAACTGCTGATTAATAAATACCAGCTCTGTTCTAGCACAGGCTGGCTGTGACCGAAAGACATTCAGGCACCCCCGGGCCGTTCTGTAATTTATATGCACTGAGTTGGTGCCTGTAATCTAATTGCAATGGCCATAGTGCCAAATAAAAGACTCGTTATCACACCTGGCGCTGTTTGCCAAAGAGAAGAGCAGCAAAGGAGACTGAAGTACAGCCTCTAGCCCTTAGCAGCAATATGCTGTGTTTGGAAGGTGGTTAGCCATTTGCAAGCATGGAAGAATGGAGCAAAACCAGCAAAAAAATAGCTGCAGTTTGTCGGAAATTTGTCGTATGAGATGGCAGTATCCGCAAAGCCCGGCTGCTTTAATGCTGCTTATTTTGGGAATGACGGTCTGCAAGCTAACCACACACTTACAGCCTTATCGGTCCCTGGAGACCTTGTATACATCCCAGGCTTGCCCGGCCGTGGTTTACTTTCAGGAAACATGCTGAGGACCTCAGAAATGTATACCAAAAGTATACAGAGCGCATTTTTCATCTCAGTGTGTGTACTTTTTTACAGCGTGCTCCACAGCAAGTGAATTTTAATTTATGCCTCCACCGGGGATGTGAACTGCCTTTTTCTGACTCTTTTGCTGTCTTGTTTAAAATCAATTACTGCTCTGTCCTGGTTTCAGTCCCTTTGGAGGATGAGCTGGAGGCCACATTTCCCTCCTCCTCCTCCTCCTTGTTAATTTTTAAGGTGGCAAAATCAGTCCCCAAATTGATCCTTGGGGCATCACTTGCCCGAAAGGTTGCCATTCACAATTGTCAGCTTCTGTTTGATTTTTTTCATGGCGGTTCAACATCTGCCCATAGCAACCTCTACCCTCTCCAGCGATGCCTGACCTTCAGCGTACTCCTTTGTGCTGCTCTGCACTGAAGTTCTCCTCAAAGTGCTCGTAAATCACACGTACGGCTTTTTCCCACCAATGTGTCTGGTGTTACTACTCTGATAAAGTCATGCCAGATTTTTGGACATTCTCTGACTCTTTAAAAATGTACTTTTGGAGGGGGGAAAAAATTGAAACAAATATATTTATGTCTGGTAACTAACCAGCAGGAGGCAAGTTCCCTGGGAAGCTTACTTTTGTTTCTGTTTTCACAGCTTTGAATTAAGTTTTCTCTGCATTTATAAACATTATCTTTCTCTGAGGTATGGAGTCCTGTCTTTCAGACGAGACGTTATGACAGAACATAGACACTCCACATGCAGAAACACTGTGAAGTAACTCTTTGAACATGCTGGTCTCACACTTAAGGATGAAAAATGGCTTAAATCCCAGGCCTGCACACAATTATAGATCTGCTGAACTTTCTAGATGAGCAGTTCAACATCTTCGGTGTACGGTTATGCATGTGCACAAGTCTTCTAGCTATCAGTGTCTTAAACAGCTTAGTGTGAAACTGATATTCTGCCTTTCAGCAGCTTTGAGTCTTAATAAGTCCCTGCAGCAAGGCATGATTAGCAGGAAATTTTTTGTCCTGCTGGGGCTAGATTATGTGATTATTATTTTTTTTAAAGACAGTCTGCTTTCTGTCGGCAGCTCAAGATTTTTTGTTTCAAGAGCTCTGCTCTCTAAAGATCTATTTGTGTAATTAAATGCACGCTCATAGTGGCATTGCGCCAGTTTGTTTGGGTGGTTTGTTTTGGCAACACGAGCAGCGCATGGGTGAAGTTCTGCTGAGGGACTTGGGTGGAGGATTCGATGGTGGTCCAGGTTAGCAGCGGGCTTAGGAAGGGGGTGGAGGCTGGAAGGGAATTATTCCCTCCAGTGCTCTGTCATCACATCAACATGATCATTTTGGTGTTAACTTTGTAGGTTAGAAGTACTTTTTTATTAATTCTCTCTTCATAAAAATACAAGCGTGTAAGCTGCTGCCAACAGAAACCTATCGACTGGGAATAATTGTGGTTTTTAGAAAGCATCTTGCAGGAAACTTAGAAATCATGAGCTTTTTGATTCCATATCCAAGAGATTGGAGTTGATGGAAAGGGGAATAATCTCTGTGGTCAGAAGTGCAGCTATTAGATTCATACCTTAAAAGTCAAACCAACACAATTAGTCGTATTCTTCCACGAGAGGCAGTTGTACCAAAAAAGCACGTATGCTATGGCGAACCCAGTCTGATCATGGAAGGCAGTGAAACTGGAAGAACTTGCCTTTTCAAAGAGGACTTGAAAAGAGATGCAACTCTGAGCTCAGCCATAAAATGAATTTTTTTATTTTATTTCCTTTTCTCACCTTTGCGGTGGGATGCCTCGTCGTTAGCAGGGAGAAGGCAGAATACACTGTAACGAGATGCAGAATCGGCAACTCTGAATGATTAATTTATTTTTGCTTGGACTCTTCTCCCAGGCCATTAGTGTCTACATACTCTCTGTAGGGTTGGCCTGTGTGTGTATGGAAGGTGGTAGTTAAATTCTGCACTGTGTTCTCCTGAAGTGGCTGGGGTTGCACGAATACAGCTGAAAGAAGGGTTTGCCCCCTTATTTGCAAGTCCTATCCCAATTTTATATTTCTTGAACTAAATCCCAAAGGAACCGCATCCCCTGCTATACCTGCTACTGTCCCTTTTTCCTCCGTGACTCCACTGGCACGTGGACCCACAGAAAGGTTCCTGGAGAGTAATAGTTACTTCTCCTTGTAACTGTGCAAGCGCACGTCCTCACCCTGCAATAAGCATCACGTAAATCAAAACAGCAAACCTTTTTCTGAAGGGGGGATAGGTTACCACGTTTTTATGGTGGTGTGCGTACAGTTACCACAGAGCAGCTGGCGTTTGGTAACTCGTTTGCGCATCCAAGCCCAAAGCGTGTGATGCCTACCCATGGTCTGTTGTATTGCAGGGAATGAACTATTTGGAGGAGCGTCGCCTGGTGCACCGTGACCTTGCTGCCAGAAACGTCCTCGTTAAGACTCCTCAACACGTGAAAATCACGGACTTTGGGCTGGCAAAGCTGCTCGGCGCCGATGAGAAGGAGTATCACGCCGAGGGAGGCAAGGTAAAGTGCATCAGAGAAATGAACCGCTGTGCATTTGTCGGTGTTTGTGCTTGCACACGAGCCTTAAACACAGGGGAAAAAAAGAGTGGGTTTTTCAGAGCGCTCAACTGCCGTCTCAGCGTGCTGCCTTTGAAGCCTGTGGGAGTCCTCTGAAATCAGCCGAGGCAGCGTCAGGCCAGTGGGACTGCAGTGGGAACGGAGGTAGCAGAGCAGCGAATGCTTTTGAAATTCCCACCCAGAATGTCTGGGAAAAAGCAAGATTATTAAAAAAACATTAAAAAAAAAAAAAAGCATGGCTGAATTCATCAGTGTAGCCAACACCAATAGCACTGTGCAGTTTATGAAGAGAAAGGGAATGCTGTATATTTATAGCAGAAGAAAGACCTGTCAGACTTGGTTCAACACGCCTTCGTGTTGTACTACGTGCTGATGGAGGGAATGTGTCCTGCTGAGAAATTAAAGAGAAGCTGCTTGCAAATATTATGGAGACCATAAATGGAAACCATATGAGTGCAGATCAGTCTTTGTCATACAGCCTGAGATTGGATTTGTGTCCTGTTATGATAGGAGAAGGTTAAAAAAATAGTAATTTGATTGTTAAAAATATTGTAAAACTGATTTGTAAGAGATATTTCTAATATGCCTAATATTTCACAAGTTCCCAGGTTCAACATAATAAATGAAAATAATAATAAAAGTTAAAAAGACTCAAAAGTTGTCTGCTGTACCACTCAGATAGTTGTGTTGTTTGTTGGTTGTTTTTTCTCCCTTCTGCAACCAAACTATTGGCTTAAACACCCCCTGGTGGTAAATATCACTGATAAATTTTGGATCAGCCTCTTAAGGCTTATTTGTGAATTTTCCTAGGTTCCTATTAAATGGATGGCCTTGGAGTCAATTTTACACCGGATTTACACTCATCAAAGTGATGTCTGGAGTTACGGTGAGTCTAAAACCAGTTATAATTATTGCAAATGGGTTGGAAAATTGCAGGATTTGCTAGTGACTCTACACAGACCTTTTTTCTTCCTATTATGAGAAGACTGAGAGATTAAACATAAACAATGGGCCCAAGTTACCTATTCAATAAAGTAAAATTCCCACGAAATTGCATGCTAGTGAGGTATAAGACGTTTTGCAGAATATGCTTTCAGATTATGCGCCCTCCCCTGAAAGAGGCTGCAGGTAGGAGACTCTGTTCCATTTGCTGAAGTTCTGCTAATGCTTTTCTTCAGCAGCTTCATGTGAAATATAACTGGGCTGACAATAAAGCCACATAACTAGAGGGAGGACTTAAAACCATCGGCCACGCTGTCAGTCAGCGTCAATCAGTGTAACTGCTGTGGCCTAAAATGTTTGTGCTGTCCTGGTATTGAGAGGACAACGCTAAAAGGGAAGCAAAGTGATAACCTCCTTACAGAATTCATTTTATATTTGGTATAGTTCATAAGCCAGCTTGAAAGAAAGAGGAGCAGAAAAGAAACTTTTCAAAGCAGCTTATTCCAAAATTTCCACTCCATGGGCTCTTATATTCCTGGAAAATATTTAATGCAGATGGTCAGATCCTGTGTTCTTTCAGAAAAAGTACAGCCTCTGGTCCTCTTAATCCATTTACGTACCCTGGCATCCAAAATCTTGTTTTGTATCCTAAGCTACCAGACAATCACAACAGCTACATCACAAGAGTACGTGGTATGTCAGCAAACAACACTGAGGCAGCTGGTTTACACATCTTTCAAAAACTGCTCTTGCTCGTCTCCAAAGAGATTGTTTTGAAACAAAAATACAACTTCCATTTTTAAAACCACTTGCTGGGTTGGAGTCAGGAGGCGGTAACCTGCATTTCCTTTCTGTGCGGCTGGGAAGTTTGTGGGATGTTCAACACTTGAGATACTAGCTGAGATTAAAAAAAAACCAGAATACCCCCCCCAAAAAAAACCAAAAGGAAATCAGGATGATTTCAGCCTATTTTACTAATCTGTCTCTGTTCAAAATCCTGGCAGAAAATGCTTTTCCTGGGTGGGGCTCTGGCGATGCAGTGCCTCTGGGAAAGCCCTCTCCACTCACCGCCTCTCTATGCCCAGGCCAAGCACCCCGGCTCCTGACAAAGCCTCTCTCATGGTCTCCTCTTCCCACCCTGCAGGTGTGACAGTTTGGGAGCTGATGACATTTGGGTCCAAGCCGTACGACGGGATCCCTGCCAGTGAAATCTCCTCTGTCTTGGAGAAGGGCGAGCGTTTGCCCCAGCCCCCCATCTGTACCATCGATGTGTACATGATCATGGTCAAGTGTGAGTTCACATTTGGGGTTGTGGGTGCTCACCTAAGTCGAATAAGTAGCATAATTGCCTTTGTCATGTCACATTTGTATATGCTGTGTTCTTGGTGATTGCACAGAAATAGTTATGTGAAAAGAGTGGTGACACCAGAGTGTGTTCCTGCACCTTGAGCTTTAGCTAGGAGCACAGGATATGGTTTCATTAGTCGCTAACTCAGCCCACTAATGTTTTTTCACCATTCACACCACTGGCTGATATTGTCAATTACTTTAAACTGATATTGTCAGGCAGTATAAATCAGCATAACACCACCCACTTTACCTGATACTCTGGTTTTGTATGTCTAGAAAATAAAATTAACACTGCCTCCTCCTCCAGGCTCCCCCTTAGTTCAGTAATATGCCTGCCCCTGCAATCACAGACGGATTATGCGTTCCTTTTACTGAAGGAGTGCTGTGAGCACAGGCACCACCGTAATGGCAGATGTATATAAGGAGCCGGAGTTCCTCATCCAATTTCTTCCTCATTTTCAGATGGCTCCTTTTTGGCACATGGCTGTTGCTGTAAAGTAGCACAGGAGCTGGGGGTCTCTGAAGCACTTTTTGGTCATTGTTAGGGCACATCAAAGGGCTTCTGAACCCCAACCCCCTTTTCCATCTATATCAGCTGCTAAAATGTCAGATTATTACCTGGCTTCCTGTGCATCTCTAGACCATGACTGCTGCATCCCTGCTCGCTACCAGTGGTGTCTGTGAGGATGCTGATAAGAAGCCCACTAGGTGGCATTTAAGACCTTCTCACTGGAGGAAAATGTACTTGTTCCTGAAATAGGAGCCACGCAACCATGAACACCCCATAGTGCAGCACTTTTGGGGAGTCCTAAAGTGCCCCAGTGTTGCTTTGTCAGGACGGGCACCGCACAGGGAAAGCCTTGCTCACCAAAGTGAGCAGGAACGGGATCCAAATGTGTGCACCTAGCCTGGGAGGTGCCCAGACCCAAAAGCAGTGTCCTGGAAACTCCTCCTCAGTAATGCTGAACCCTACTGACACCTCAGCCCTGCCAACATCTCTGCTTGCAGCAGTCATGTCCCAAGTCTTCGAAAGCTCTGCACTAGAACATGTCCTCAGGGGCTGAGCCTTTGCAAAGCTCAGCAGCTCCATCCATTGCCCTTCCTTTGGGTCAGTCCAGATGTAGAAAGCAGGCATTTTTCCAAGCACCTAATCAGGTATCTGTGGCTTTTAAAACACTGCCAGTGGAGTGTCCCCATCCCCTTTCATACCGTTACACTGAATTTAAACTCAAGAGCATGAGGATCTGGGGTTTGAGCCTTCCTTCTGCCACAGCACTTGGTTGCACATCTTTCACTGCTCTGATCACCCCGTGTTTGCAGGCTACAGCACAGACCCTGTTGAAGCAGTGCCATTTTGTCTGAAGGAATTTAGGATTCCCAGTCATCTCTTTTATAAGCAGAGAGTATAAACCGAAATGTTCAAAGTTATTGCACAACAATTTTTTTTTTTTAATTTAAGAAGCATATTTAAACATACGCAACTCAGAGAGAAATTCAGAAATAGTAGATGCTACTTCTGCAACAGCAGCAAACTCCCAAATGCTCTACTCTGTCTAAAAGCAAAAAGGACTTCTTCTTGAACTAGTAGGGGATCATATTTCTAGCATGGTAAAAAGTCACTGGCAATGATGAGATCTTGTCTAATGCAGATTTCAGATGCCGTATTATCACTTCATTTCTCCATTACTATGGATAGGCTGTTTCTAAGCTTGACCTTTATTATTTTTAATTTTAAACACAAGAGTCTCTACATCAGCTCATCTGTTAGTTGATAACAGAAAGTGTGAGTTTCCTAAGTAATCTCACATGTTAAACCACCAGTATCTATATTCGAAATCTCTTCTAGCATTGATTCACACTAAGCTGTAGGACTTGTTTTTGTTAAAGTCCGTTTACTAATTAAATACAGCTTAGATATGGTTAATCTTTCCCCAGCGAGGATGTTTTGAATTTTAGAAGACATCTGGTACAGAGGGTAGCTTCTGCTTCAGGCTTCCCAGGATTTCACAAAGCAGTGCAGTGAGGACTAGGCGGTCAAATCACCATACATCTGCAGCCGCCTGCTGAAGTTAGTTTGCTTCCCCTCCTTCAAGAGCTTTTTTCAAAGCAGCCTAATTTGGACTGATCCAGGCTGGCCACCCGTTTGGTAGCCTCAGGACTGATGCGTTATTATCGCTCAGGTGGGACCTGCCTGCCCAAGTGGATTTAGGCCAGCAGGAAAGGAGACAGGCTCAGCCTGGAGCTTTTCCAACATGGGTGTTTATTACCTCCTTCATTCTTCCCAAAACTGCCAAGATGTGCATTTTAAATGCTGAAATTCACAGCAGTGGCTGGTGAATGAACTTTTTATGGTGGTCCCTTACGGGTAAATCCTTAACAGCGTGTATGGTGCTGTTCTTTTCGCTGTTACATTTTCTCTTAAGCTGTGTGTTTGATCACCAAAACAACTTTATTTGTGTGTTGCTTTCCCTGTCGTCCTTCCAGGCTGGATGATCGATGCAGACAGCCGTCCCAAGTTTCGCGAACTGATAGTGGAGTTCTCGAAAATGGCCCGTGACCCCCCACGCTATCTCGTTATACAGGTACTAAACCCAATGGTAGGAAGATGTCTGATGGGCATTTACTATGAGGCTCAAAATGATTAGAAATGCATATGAAAATATGTAATACAGACAATTTAAGGCCAGATTTACCATTGCTTTTCAGGTCTTAACATTCAGCTAGAACCACAAGTAGAATTTCAAGACCAGTCACTATTTTCTTAGTACTGGTCCCAGTCTAGGACCAGTAACAGTTTATACTGCAGTCCTGAGAGGAGAACAGAGTTTGATCCTCTTCAAAACGCAGATATTTTACAGCAGCATAGACAGAGATTGGATGCCGAAATTCCCCTAAAGTCTAGGTAAATTTGGTTAAATACACAGATCAAGATTTTACATCTTGGACCTCTCGCTGAATTACTTTGTCTCTCAGAGAAGGGGACAATGAGGGCTTGAAGGGAGTCTGCGAGTCCTCTCTCACACCGACTTGTCTGACAGGGAGACGATAGGATGCACCTGCCCAGCCCTACGGACTCCAAGTTTTATCGCACCCTGATGGAGGAGGAGGACATGGAAGATATAGTGGACGCAGATGAGTATCTCGTGCCGCACCAGGGCTTCTTCAACAGCCCCTCAACATCCCGCACTCCTCTCTTGAGTTCATTGGTATGAAACTTTTCCACTGTGGAAACATGACAAGCAATTTTAAGAGTGAACTGCTTCTCATAATGTCTGTATTTTCTTTCTCTCTCTTTTTAAAAGAGCGCTACTAGCAACAATTCTGCTACAACCTGCATTGACAGAAATGGGGTAAGTGGGATGACCTTTAAAAAAGGAGCAACTTGCCTATGTGGATCAACTTCTACAAAACAGTCCCTTTAATATTGATTTTCTCTATTTCAAACCTAGCAGGGGCACCCTGTGAGGGAAGACAGCTTTGTCCAGAGGTATAGCTCAGACCCAACGGGCGCTTTCTTGGAGGACAGCATAGACGACGGCTTCCTGCCAGCCCCGGGTGAGTACCTCTCCCGTGTTTCCATCCCACAGCCACTCATTCACAAGCCATTTGGTTGTGAATATAATCGTTATCCTTTCTTTTCTGTAGAAAGGAAGCAATCCAAATGCTTCCTACCTGTATTGGTTGGAAAATGTGTGCACGTATCCTTTTCCTAGACTTTTTCTGGCTGCTTCTGGCCGTTTCTCATTTCGGTTCCTTCACCGGTCAGGTTCCTCATGTTTGCCATGTGTGCCATCTGGCTGGGGAGTTCGCATGCGTGGTTATATGTTTAAAGCTTTCTACCACCCCTGCACTTCGGAGAATATCCTCTAAAAACCAGGTTTCATCCCTTAAACCATTTCAGCAATATAAACAGCTTTCTGGCAGTTTCACTGCTTTCAGATGTTGATACACAGAAGGCAGCTCACGGTTTCATGTGGACTTACAGCGTAGGCGGTAGGAGAGCGAGCCAGCAGGCACCGAGGGAGCTGGTGCTGGGTTATGCAGCCGTGATGCTTTGTGTTCTTAAAAAAACCCACCCAACCTTTCCAAGAATACATCACAGCTAAAAAGGGTGAAAGACCCTGCAAGGGATAGCATTTAAGTGAGATGCAGAGTCTCTGTTTCTGTCAGTCCTGTATTTTCTAGGCACTTCCCTCATCTCTAAACGGTTTTCTACGGAAACAGCTTCTGGCAGCAAAGCTCCCTGACTGCAGTTTCGGAACAGTATCTGAGACATAGCCACCCCCATGTCACTAAAATCAACAGTAGCTATCTCGCTGTCTCGTGGTCCAGGCCATCTTTCTGCTACTTTGCGAACTGAATTCCTGAAGGTGAACTTCAGGGCAGCGCATTTGGTGCCACAGCATGGCAGTCCCTGCCTTTGGCTCTTTTCTGCTCCGGAAAGTTCAGTGAGATGCTGTGCGCGAACAGCAAGTGGCAGCTGGGTTGAAACTAGACTTCGAGTGATGCAAATGGCTGCATTAGTTATATGTCTTCATTTTCATTCCTTCTCATTTTTTTTTTTTTTTATTCCAGAGTATGTAAACCAGTTGGTGCCCAAGAAAGCATCTGCCTCAGTGGTCCAGAATCCAATCTACAACAACTTCTCACTCACAGCAAACTCAAAGGTCCCCACGGACTCCAGCTACCAGAATTCACACAGCACAGCTGTGGACAACCCCGAATATCTCAACACCAACCAGTCTCCACTGGCCAAGACAGTCTTCGAGAGCTCTCCTTACTGGATCCAGGCAGGCAACCACCAAATAAATCTGGACAATCCTGACTACCAGCAGGACTTCTTACCGAAGGAAACCAAACCTAACGGTCTCTTGAAAGTTCCCGCGGCAGAGAACCCGGAGTACTTGAGGGTAGCAGCACCAAAAAGTGAATACATTGAAGCCTCTGCATGACCATAGAGAATTTCTTCTTGCAGTGAGGCAAGCCAGACTCTCGGTGAACCACCTGGCTGCTGCAGGAACGGACTCTTGCCCGTAGTGAACGGCGACCGCAATGCGTCAATAAGCACACCTTTCCTTTTCAGCACAGGGGCTGAAACTGCGAAGCCTATCTGATTGTAGTTTGGGTCTTTTCTTGCCCATTTCCACGTAATAACTGAGGCCCAAGGCCTGCACTCGGATGCGTGTTGGGATGGAGCAGGATCTTCCTGGACAGAAGACATACGGATGCATTCCTTTCATTTTCAAATGGTAGCATGGTAAGAAGCCACTCTGGGATGAACTTGAGAGCTGTACACATTGTACAGTCAAATTCCTTTCTACAGTCTGTATTTTTATAAATGTTTCTAACAGAATTTTTGGATCTTTTACAAGATCAGATGCTTGTACTGCTGGTCTGCTATGTGGTGCTCAGATCACCAGCAGGAAAAAAAAAAAAACGTTACTAAATAGTTTTCCAAAACTCCTGGAACAGAAACAGTTATTCCAAACCACCAGATTTTTACAAATTGGCTCCATATACTGCTTCTTGGCACGAAGAGGAGAAGTGCATCTGGGGGACATACGGGAGATTCTGCCCAGGGCAGTATGGAGTGGATCACTCCGGGGAAAACTAGCACAAGGAGCAAAGTGGCACAACGCATCACCTACTGACCACTACTGCTAAAAACTGACAGGAGGAACTTACCTCAAAGTCATCTGTACATGGTTATAAAGTGCTCACTAGTCTGCTTTCTGATGGTCAAACGCAAGACATTTTTTTTCTGATCCCTTATGCAGCTGTCAAGTTGTCAAAATGCCTTTCTTCTTCAACAAAATGGTTAAAGATGTTGCTGTAACTGAAAAATGAAGTGTCAAATAATGTTTAACAGACTTTAATTAAATGTCAAGGAAATGCAAATGGTGGCAAATTGGAGCATTCACGAGGCAGACTGGAAGAACTATACTAAATTAAACTTGACTAGGGCAAGAAACACAGGTAGCTCTAGCCAAGTGGTTTTATTTCCCTTCTTAAAGGGGCTCAGAGGAGAAATTCTTTTCCCTTATACATTTGTCAAAGAAACGGGGTATATCAGTGTTACGCTTTATTCACTTCAAGGCAGAATACTGCCAATTGCTGTACCATGCTGGGGCAGAGGCTGGGGCTGGTTGCCCTTTGGGGTTATGTATCCTGGCAATGCAGGAGGGGCAGTGAGAATGAATTAAGGAAAGGAAGAATAATCTGGAGTGATGGAAAATATTATCTCCCTCTTCTGAAACACAGGGCTGCCTAGTACTTCTTAAAATACCCAGCATCATCTTCTGTTATCAGTGTGGAATAGGCAGACTAGGCAAGGCTAATATTTTAGCTTCATAGTATAAAGCAATCACAGCAGCAAAAGCAGCTTCTCTTTCCAGGGGCCTGTGATACAGAACTTCAGATTTTCCATCATTAACACTTCTTATGAATGTAGGAGGAGTAAAACGCCTGAAGTGTGAATTTAGTCAGTAATTTAGACAGTTTGGCAGTGCTATTTTAATCAAACCAGTAGATCAGAAAGCAAATGCACATTTGGTGATTTTGGTACAAAGGCCCGTAACTAGTTGAACACTGACAATTTGCTTGAGGGTAGCATAAGCAGCTGAGTTGCAGAGGATATGTAGTCTATATTAAGTAGCAAGAAATAGTCAAATTTATGCTGCCACTGTGTTTTGAATATATCAGTATGTGTCTCAGTTTAAGTATTGCATCTGGAGTCCAGGATCAAGCAGCAAATCCTCAGAACATTGTTTTTACAGATTTATTGGGGAATGAAGGACAAGAACGGTCATGTGAAATGACCCCTTTTATAAGTAACATGGTGTAAAATGCATTAGCGGCCTGTGTGTGTGCAGTAGTTCACTGCCCACGCTCCAGTCTAGGGTAGAGCAGTATATTGGGTCAAAATCCAAAGATTGTCCTGGTTGGTACATCTGTGTCACCATGACCAAGTCCCAGGCACAGCGGTATGGAGGATGCGATGTTTGACTTTGATTATTACTGGCTTGTATTTAAAACGCTAACCAAAATTCAGTTCCCACGTCCAATTAGTGGCAGATTTCTCCTTGCGTTCCTGAGAGCAGATTTGTTGTGTTGCTCTCACAAGCGTGCAACGTGTAAGCACAGGCAGCGCTGCTTTTCTCCACCCACTGCCCCGAGAGGAATGTACATAAAACCAAAAAAAGATCTTAACAGAAATCACAGATAATTTTCAATTTGCTAAATCTGTTATGTCTCCAAGCAGAACACTAGAAAATCACATAGTGTACGTTCTCCTGCAGAATCCTTCCGACACTATTGCACAAAAGAATTTATTGATACTTTGTTTTAATCTGTTAGCTAAAACAAGAAAGTGACTAAGAAGTAGCAGTATGTATCACCAGCATTATGTAGCATCGACATTATTTAATAGAGGTTAATATGCTTGCCCATAAGCTAACAGAGTCTTACCAATTGAGAAAATGAAAATTTCCCTTTTAACTATATTTCTCATGGAAGGCAAAATAAAACCACTCACAATTTACGAGAGATTCAGTAGCGACTCATTGCTAGAAACAGGGAGATTCATCTGAAAATTAAGCAATGTAAGTTTGAAAGAGCATCACTTTTCTAATGTATTGGTTTTGATGAGAAAAGTAGGAAGGAGGTTGTAGGACCGCAAACTCTCCACACAAATGTACAGATTGCAGATTGGTGGGGTCAGCTGTATTGTAAAGTAGTTCTGGTAAACAGGCATCCTGTAAGCCATGATTTGTGAACGGCAGCTCAGTAATCATTCAAAAGCCAGCGAAAAATAAAAAGAAACTGGGCAGTGTGCTGTAGTCTGCGGGCAGTGCCTGCAGGGGCAAATAGAGCGGCAGTGGGAGCGGATGGGACCGCGCAGCTGTGTGGCTGTTGCTGGAGGCACGGGTGCTCATAGGGTAACAGGCATTAGCAATGTACCAAATGACTTCCACAGAGATTAAAAAAAAAAAAATATCGGTAAGCAGCTGAAATGGTCAGGTTTTCCCACTGCAGCTCACTGACTATGTAACATCAGGGAGCCCCGTGCAGATCATAGGTGCTCATAAAGGCAAAGATGGTTAGGCAGCATTCCATGGGTCCTTGCTGATGCAGGGTTGCATGGAGTTTAGGCTACCGAATGGGACATAAAAGTTGTGTTTTTACAAATATTAGAAAAAATAAATACATTGCATCCTGAGAGCTTACATGAATTAGCATCCAAAAATAACTTGAAAGTTCTGCCATTGTCTCTCAGGAGTTGTGGGTAGAAAATGCTGATTTTTAAAACGCAACTGAATAGGGAAATGTAGCAGGCCACAGCCGCTTTTAAAAGCTGACAGAGTCTTACCAATTGAGAAAATAAAAATTTCCCTTTTTACTATATTTCTCATGGAAGGCAAAATAAAACCACTCACAAGTTAGTGCTTAGTGTCTCAATCATAAAGCAGCAGTTAATATGGAACTGCTTTTGCAATAACAATTTAAGACTTTTAATAACTGCTAGTATATGAAAATGTAAGTTAAGTCAAGAGTCTTCATTTTACTTTGATGTTTTCCAGTGACCTGTGTACGGTGTCAGCGTACTTGACTTCATTTGGGCCTTGGGTTGTTTTCTTTTGCTGCAAAGGGAGTTGGCTTGGGAAATTTCCTTCATGTTGCAATTGGTCTTGTTGGCTAAATTCATCTGAGAGGCTGGGGGCTTGCTTTTTTTTCCAGCTGGCAGGCAACAATGCGGTGAGTTTTCTAGAGAGAGCAGCTGGAAATAGATGGTGGTTTCTGGAACGCCTCAGGGTGGTGCCCTCTCCCACCAGCGGCACCGTCAGATGGCCACGTGAAGCCCCGGCATTAGAAAATACGGCCCGTGGTTTATTTGAAAGGAAGGGGCTTGTGTAGGGAGAGTAATGCCAGGGAAGGGGTGCAGCCAGCCAATCTATATCCGAGACAGCTGCCGAATTTGCCCAGGGACATCACTGAGGCCGTTGACTGTTTATGCAGGTACACGTGGGAATAGACACGTGGCTCCTGTCCCTGCTACCGGCTTGAAGCGAAGCCCTCTCGCAGAGATTGCTTGTGCGAAAACCAATGTATGCGGCATTCGTACTATGGGGTGAATCTCTTCTCTTCCCTGGGAGACGCAGTTAGGGCTACAACAATGTCACAGGACCCCAAACAGCTTAAAGCGGTCCCATCACAAGGTGCCTGGGGTGTCCTTGGTCTGTCTGGGGGTGCTCCACGGTGCCCAGGAGAAACTTTGCATTTCCAGACAAGCGCTCATTTTTCAGATTCAGAGTTCAACATCTTCTGTCAGTATGACCGCTGCCTCTCCAAATGAGCAGTTATGGTACTCTGGCTTTTGTTTCCCGCCACGTTTCTCTGTGAGAAAACATCTGAATCAGGACAAAGTATGAAAATGTGCTTGTGTCCTCCTTCCTGATGGAAACCATATACTCATGAAATGTCAAACTCTGTGTATAACACTTAGCAAGAATGCTTTGTAATGTTTTATCACCACTGGTTCAAATTTTTATATTGGGATCCCATTTTCTAGCTTTCTTTTTGTAAGTGTTATCTCTTTGTTCCGACATACAACTTTTAAGGACCCTTTTTGAAATAATAAAAAAAAAAAAGAAAAAATGTTTATACAAAAAAAACCCACGACACCTTCAAGTAGCTTGTCAAATGTGCTGCATTAGGACCAAAGATGTAACGTTTTGTTTTCTTGCTTTAAAGGAATAGGGTATTGATCACCACTTCCACAGCTTCTCATTACAGGGAAAAGCTGCAGATCTCCACTCTTCATTGGGGCTGGGCTAGACCTCCACTGAGCCAAGAGGGCTTGATGGGAGGGTGAGGCCTGTCCATAGAAAACCAAACCAAATACCAGGACCAGGTATCACTTCAGGGCCAGACCTACAACCTCTACTCCATTTCG